AATTCTCCATTGATAAAAACTTTCATTGTTGGATATTTATGGACAGAGTACTTATCAGCAATTTTTGCCTGCAAACAGCTTGAACTTAACAAAAAAGGAGAGCATGCTTACAACATATAGTTCTTTTCATCAATATAAAGGAAAATATCATTTAATTTCATCTTTACTTGTTTGACGCTATCCACAACAGCCCAAATTACATTTGCCGTAGGGTTTTCTCGTGCAAAGGTTGCAGCAGCTTCTTCAAAAATTGGTTTAAGTCGACGACTAAATGGGCACCAATCAGCACAAAATGCAACAAACACGACCTAAAACAATGTCGGAACACATATTACTTAAACATAAATGTTGGTCTGCTGAAAACATCTTTCTTCATGATTTTATTCCATGGATAGATCTTTTATGCTCTGAATTCCCACAGTGACAGTGGCATTTATAATCGTCTGCATACTATTCAGAGATATTACAGCAATTTTCGGTAAAATATCCATATAAGGACTAAAGTAACAGATAATAAGATTTTGAAGCAATTCAGTCAGTGATTGATTCTAAGCAATAAAGTTCAGAACTTTGTCCATGGGAACGGCATTAAACTGAACAGAACTAATACTTCATTTCAGGAGTTTAAACTTTGAGTCCCAAAGTTGGTCGGACATAACAGTCATGTAAGTTGTAATAGTTGAATTCTCCATAGGTTAAATGTGTCTTCTGAATACCTTCATTTCCAGATTCATTTCAGACAGCTAGAATAAGATGCACAAAACAAATGCAAATTATTCTTGCTACATTTAATAATATATCTAACACAGAGTTATCAGAAATTAGATGTAAAAGCTTTTTCAGTGACAAAATTACATTTCCATGTTTGGAAACCTTTTGCTTAGCATATTATCTGTTTTTCTTGCCAAACAATTAGTTTCTGCATCTTTTTAAAATTATTGAAATAACATCCTAGATTCGCAATGTTTTAAATTTGCAAATATTTAAAAATTACAGATTTCTATACCTGAGCATTTCTGATGATATCATCATGATTATCCATATTCAACAAAGTTATATTCGTTAATACAGCTGGCAAAGATAAAATTACCAACAACAACCAATAAATTCTTATTATCATTCTATACATGAAGGTTTCTGTCACCTGAAAATTATTCTTACTTATCGATTTTCCAACAGTACAAATCCTTTCTTGAACAACAAAAACAAATAATGAAGTCACCATAATTATGAACGTTACTGACTTCCATCTCGGAAAGTTTTCGATCTTCACTAATTTCACTGCTTCGATCCTATTTTCCATCAATTCTTAAAAGACTTAAAAGTATTACTGTTCATTCAATTTAAAAGTCAAATTTATCTAAAGAGTAAAGACTAAAGAGCTACAACATATAGGGGCTCCACAAAGCAACCTTAATATCCCTAAAGTTGATATCATTTTTTTCTAACTTAACCAAATGAAAGTGGTGCACACGGAAATTATAACACTTTCAAAAAAATCCCCGCAAAACCACCATCCCGTATTACTCTCGTCCCATCCACTACTGCAACACCATTCGCAACTCATACCAGAACGGATTTCGGAAAACGAATGACGTTAGGCGACTCAACGTATCATTCCTTTCGACCTCTTGTCCACTTCAGTCACTAAGTCGCCCTTCGCCATTTCCCACCACTCCGAAAGACATGCTCTTGTAGAAGTTATCTCTCTCCTACTCTCTCCTACTACGAATGATGCACTCTTTTCTCTAATTCTCTGATGTCTTCCATTTAATTTATCATTCAACAGTTCGGACACTCATTTAGTGAAGTGATGGACTAAAGACGGGTAGGATTGGATTGTGAATGATCTTCACACAAACATTAAACAATAATTAGGGCCTGAATAACTGCAAAGAAGCTTTTGATGTTTCTGTGGAATACAGGTAGAATAGAATGAAGTGGATGATATGTGCAGAATTTCCTAATTTGTCTAAAATGGGAGAAGCTACCATTGAAAAATCTGAAGTTTCCAAATGTGAAATGTTCAATTAACACTAAGTCTAATTGAAATTTGCTACCTTTCTATAACATGCACTTTTAACATCTTCGGTCGATCATGTTATGTGATCGAGAAATGAAAGAGAGCAAAAATGGATTAAGAGAAGGAAAATCAGCTCTTCCTGATGAGTAATCCGGATTGAAGTATAGATTAATATAGTGGTGAGGACATGAAATAATTGTTATATAGATGGCAAATTGTACATTTTGTTACTTTGCATTTGATTTCCACTCGGCAAAACACGAGAAAATAAAAGTAATCTGTAAAGCATTAATTGTACTTAGAGGATAACGAATTGTTATAAATGACATAATGTGTGTTTCACTTCTTCAAGAGAATCACAGAAATGTCCCACCAAAGTAAATGTGGTATAGAATTGAAGTTTATCTTAAGTTAATAACTCTATCATTTCCAGAAACGTTGACTGTATTTCGGACACGGAATCAGATACGCGATGATTAGTGCACTAAAAAATCGTAACACCGGCGGAGGCGTTATGAATCCGTCACTGGAAAAGTATTCTGTATAATAATAACACTTTATTTGTTAAAGGCGAAATGTGATTCGATTTGAAATGACATTTTAAAAAAAAGTGTGTTCTGTTCTTTGGTAGCGCTCATTAGAGTGTCATATGACAGGTTCTCATTATCGTATTCATTTTGGTCTTTGTTCATTGTCATTGACCGTTTTATAATGCGCTCTCCTTTTCGCTCTTTCACAAAACTTCCTTTTCTTACTTGCGCTAACTTTTTTTTGTAGTCTTTGATTTTTGCAGAAGACAGTAATGTTTTTATGCATTTTTCTAGTAATTCTTATTACAAACAATGAATGATCTAACTAGCGGATGAATAGAGTGAAATAAACTTTAAGTTCTCTGCAAGAGACTCATATATGCTTAGAGTTCCCTTATCACAGGAGGAGGAGGAAGAATCGGAGTGTGTCTCTTTCGGCTTATTTTGATAACTGTTCATTACATAAGCTACCAATGATGTTATCATGACAGCATAGCTAAATGTGATCAAAATGTTATCAGTTGTTCCATCAATGGCAACGAGTAATCACTGCGCACTGTTGAGTGATATATTTGATAGCACAAGAAAGAAAAGAGTTTAAAAAATGGTATAGGTAGGATGTGGAAACCAATGAATAGAGTTCTAAATGGAGGGATTAATTCAAGACAAAATGATTTCATTAACAAAGTGCTCTTAGTAACATTATGTAGCATTCACATTTACGAGGTGACAAAAAATGGTTAAGCAGAGCCTAAATTATCAGCATTGAATTCCGAAACGATCAAAATTCTTGGTTATCACTGAGATGCGCAGTCTAACGACACCCATGGATACAGTACGTAATCTTGAGTGTTCATCGAGTCGTGTCGAAGTTTCATTGCTGAACTGCAAACTGCCTCCAACAAAATATTGCATCATTTCTTCACGTAAACCACCTTTCGGCCTCCATGTATAGCATTTCATCTATACTTAATGAAAACCAATCAAATTGACCAAATCATTAATTAACTGTAAACCAATTAAGAGAAATCAAAATTTATAGTTGTCTGCAAATGACTTAATCAACCACTACAAATAGCAGCCAAGAAAGCATTACCTGATGTTCACCAGGAGAAGCTGGCAAATATATAGATCCGTAACCATACAGTTCCTGGCGACCAAATTCATCATAGTGCCAAATTTGTAGACTAATTGAAGGCCATCCTGAAAGTAGACAACATTTTGAATAAACTTTTTCTTCACTTACATAACCGCTATTTTGAAACTTTCCGACTACGACCAATCACACAGTTCTAAATTATAAAGGTGCAGATATTAAACATATCTTAATTTAGATCAGATAAGTCGGAGAAAACGTAAAAGCTAAAGTATGAAGAGCATTTGAACTTCCTGATAGTTCTTCAGATAATTTGCACTTTATGATAAAGTTAAACTGACCTTGTATGGTTTTAGTGATAAGATGTATATCCAACGGGTGTGAAAAGGATGCGAAATCTCCATATTCAGATAAGTCGGTCTGAGTTTGTCCTTCGCTCACTCCTTGTATTACACGCCACCCACCACCTTAATATTATTTGAAACATTGCAGTACACTCAGCTATGTATAATCTTCTTGATAAAATTGCTGGTGAAATAGCAAAAATCAAAAGAATAATCGAAATTTCGATGCTAGAAAAGTTTTAATAGAGATAAAACTACTCCTACCTTTTTTGAGTAAGAACATTCAAAACTGTTCACGAACTTTTCATCTCACTTAAAGAATGAATAGCAACTTACCAAATCTAAGTTCCCAGCGACAAAAAAGGCGTTGTTCGGGGAATCCAGATGCACTTTCAATCTCTCCGATAATATGCACCTCAGCCATTTACCCACCCAGCTCTTTCCCAATTTCCTATCAGTGTCGCCATAGCGACAACAACGCGTTGCAATTCCGTTTCTTTCATTTATTCCACTTTTACCATGAAAACAGTTCAAGATTTCTTGAAATTCACTCCTGGATATCATAATCTTTCCATGGTTAGCAATCAATTCTTGGTCCAATCAACTCTTCAGCAACAGACATAGGTTACTCCATCTTCCAAGTTTGCCTTGAGTCCATCAAATTGTCACTCCTGTGAATAACATTTCCACAAGCAAAGTAAAATCCACTTTATTCTCTTTTTTTATGCAACAAAATGATATTACTATTAATTGAACAGCAGAGAATATTGAAAATATTCACTGGAACAACTATTGCTATCAACAATAGAAACACAATGGAAGTAACACATCAAAGTAAGACCTTCCCGGAACAACTGAAGAGTTACCAAGAAGCCTTCTATGCAGCAAAGCGATGATAACATCTCGAATGCATTACTCTTCATATTTCATCCATCCGATTCAATTAATCACTAAATTGCTATGCGGTGGTGATACTGTTCTTACCAATTCAATTAATCACTAAATTGCTATACGGTGGTGATACCGTTCTTTTTTGTTTCAGCTAAGCTAACACCAGAACTATGTTCGACAAGCAATGGTGCTACCCGACCATTCATGAATAAATTCAAACACAGTTGTGCTTCATGCCGTTGGCCGCTACTCTTTACAGTCGCGTTACTGTCAAGTGTATCCGATGAGCCTACGGAACGATCCATTTCATCTTCTAAACACCTAAAACAGTGCTAAATAAATTTGAAATGTTTGCATGAAAAAAGAAATGTATTTAACCAATTAGTAGAGGTAATGCATTTCGTCAGTATGCACCACTCTTCAGAAAGAGTAACTGATCATCGTAGTAAATTTCTAATGAATGAATGATTTCTGAAATGATAAATGGTGATTGACGGACAAAAATAAAGACATAAATTCATTGTTATGAAGTTGTAGTAGAGCAAAAAATGCTAAACGTGTTGTGTCACATCATCAAGCAAAAAAAATTCTTCATCGAATGAACCATGAAAGGAACTAAAATGTTTTGGATATGAAAAAAATCTCTGTTGAAAATCTTTGTTTGCCCTGACGATAATAGGTGATGGTAAGTATCGTCGAATAGTTTTGATTAAACTGTAGAAGATGATTATAGACAATATGGAAGTGACAGAAGGGAAATAGAAGCAGGTAATTTAAAACTTTGAGTCTTGCAACTGTTCTTAAACTGCGATGACATTCCGGTAACGAAAGGGTATCATACTAAAAAGAATGAAGAAATTAGCAAATAAGGTAGTACAACTAACATATAAGGGACGGAAATAACGTCGCATGTCGTCTGCATGCCATTATTTTCTGACAAGGTAGTTTTTGTTATCGAATCTGATACTTTTCTTTTGTTAAGCATGCATTTATTTAGTGAACTGTATTTTAATGAATTATTAGTGCGTTCGAAAACCCCAACGCTTCCGTTTTTCTGTGGTCGTAAAGTTAAATTCTTGATGGATCTGCAATATTCGATATGATTCCTCTGTATAAATATTTATTCAAACTTCATTACAGCTATTTCCTAAAACATTCTTAAATTCCACTTTTTTTTCACTTAACTGTTTCACTTTTTCACTTAATTGCTAACTTTATTACTAATGTTGAAATTTCAAAATATTTTAATTGGACTCTTCAAATACCTTTCCTTTTCTCTTCCACTAAATGTTTCAAGATCGAATGTGTTGATTGCAATATCATTCGGAACGTGATTCAATGTGTGTTCATTCGAAAAATGAAGACTTGCGTTCCCATTTCGTTCTACAGGAAAGTCCCGCAAAATAGATGTTGCTGCGATCGGTTGCACCATTATTTTGCCGATATCACGTCGTGAAGCCATCTGAGATATGAAAAATTTGCAACAAATCATATAAATAAAGGAGTCTCTAGAAGAAATATTTCAAAAAAAATTATTAAATTTAAAATTCAAAACTAGCAGGTACATGATTTGATGGGACAGGGAGATTGTAACGCATATCAGTAGATGAACACCAATCAGTCGGTACAGTGATCGTTCCAGAGACCGAATTCGCGGAAGTTAATCTAAATGGCTGATAAATTGATAAAGTTATTGTGATAAAATTTTCACCGTTTTTTTTTTACAAACTGCCATTGAAAAAAAAGAAACTACAAAATGAACTTGGTGATTGTCGCGTTCGAACAAGAGGGCACATCGTTGATAAGTGTACTTCTTCCAACATCTTCATCACTGACCTGTTCGTTCTCTTAAACACATATTGTTAAATAAACTTTCTTCAAGGATCCATGATAATTTGCAAAAACTGAATTAAACGATTGATGAATAGTTCTAGCAATTCATTAGAATGATGAAAATCAAACCAGAACAAATTAAAATTTTATCAGCAGAAGTCGCGATATTCTTACAACTGTTCGCCTGTCCATGATCATATAATTTAGCGGTATCTGTGAATTGCTCGTACACTTTATCATAGATATTGATTGAACTCCCTGAATGGGTACGTTGACTAGGAACACCTCTGCAAGAAAGACATACTTCTTTTGCTTTGCCTTATTTTAAAAAGCAAGGCCATTGATAAACTGTGAAATGAGAGAAAAGTTCTTAGTTCAGTTTATGCGAAGATCCACTGATATGTACTTCATCTCATTGATACTAATTATTGTAAATCAGCAGTCAACTGTACCCACTAATAGTAGTCCATTGGGAAAATATTAAGATAAAGGCATCAAATGAATCACAAAAAATCAATAAATATTTGTAACATACTTGATTAAACTGGTATCAGCAGAGTTGGTTATGAATGGTTTGTTTAACGTTTCCGTACTTCGTGAATTTCCTACGGAGTCGCCTGGCAAGTATTCATACGTTAAATCAGGATCATCGCTTAATCGTCGATTTGCATTCGGCATCGTTGGATGCTGTTTTGATGAAGCTTTTAAAATTGACTGCAATCAAAAATAGACACTCCACACAAACAGTAAGCATTTCTAAAATTATGAGGGCTAAAAGAAATTGCGTGATATTGGTAAGTGACCGAAATATTAATATTTGCGTCTCAGACTTTAATCACAATATTTCGTCTCAAATTAAGGTTTTTGCATGAATTCGTAATAAAATTTCTTCAACTCACACAAAGGCGAAACTTCAAAGTATTTAGCATAGTGGAAGTAGCACATAAACTGGTTAGGCACATAATTCGGACCATATAACGTTTTAGATTAACAGCATTATTAAAATCAAACAGTCTCCTGCATATAAGAAGGAATCGATACTTCTACAAAAAGCAAAAAAAAAAGATCCTCAATCTCAGATGAGACAGTAACCATGCGAAATTTAAGAGAAATGTAACCTTTGGAACTGGAAATGAAAGCGGCAGTGGTATTTTTGCTGTTGAAGGAAACGTTTCGGAAGCAGTATTTAGGTTTGATTGATGGGTGCTCGTGAATAAATTAGAAGTGGACTTTGTGATTTTGCTTTCTTGTGAACTATGTTGGCTTTTCCTCTGATACTTCTTGAAATTCGGTACCGATATTGAACGCTTGAAATTACAAATCCTGTTTTTGTTTGACAGAAAAAGCTCAAATAAATTGGAAAATACCGCAAAGTATGTTAACAATCGATAGTTCAGACCAACAAACTGTTTCCAAATAACAGTTAACAAAATAAGAATAAATCATATATGGGTCTGCTATGTTGAATAGTCATGATCGTGTTTGCGTATTACGTCTCAAATGCAACAAAAGCAAAAAATTGAAAGTTTTGGGCGATTAGTTGGATATACTTAAAAAAATTACCCGTTTGGTGATGCTGTCTGACTGAACGATATTTGTGTAATCCTTTTCCCATTTCTGGAGGTCAGATGAGTCCAGTTTGTAAACTGCCGAAAACGAACGTTTGAAAGGAAGCGAAGCTGTCCGATCAAGTAAGGTTGAATTGTCTTTATCAACCACCTGAAAGTTGAACGGTTCTGAACTTGGAATGTGTAAATAAATTAGATTAAATAATAATTGAGCACAAATTAGTACGAGAAACCTCGATTTTCACCAGTTTAGTGCGATTTTTCTTGAATGCCATTGAGGTAACAACGCAACCTAGGAAAGATGCAAGAAATTGAATCGTCGTCCCCGCTATTTGCACATACAGTGCCCATCCAAAATACTGCTAAAATTGAGAACAAAATTTAATAATCGTGAATTTTGCAAAAACATTTAAAACTTTCGAGAAAAGTCCACAGTTCACGTTATGTCAATTTCAGAATGAAAGTTCCTCAATGACCTCTTCAAAGTCAACAAACGAACAGGTCTGTTGACATGACCCTGTAGTCACCACAAATTTTTTTCGAGCAGCATATAACCATTTTCAGAACGGAGATTCAACAGTATTCAATTGAGATTGAGAAATCCATTCTGTCGGGGAAAGAAATTTACATCATTAAATGGTCCAGTTCACCACTGGTAGTTGTACTCACTAGTTCTTGAGCATTAATAAGTAGCACTACCACCATGCTATTCACACACTCACGTCGTTTCCACAATTGATTTTTAAAAGGCTAGATTCTATTTTATGAATGCTTCAAATGACGTTTAATTTGGAAGATTTACTGAGCAAAGGATAAGGTTGATGAAAGGTATAAATAAAAGTAGACTACTGATGTTTCAGGTTGACCTACAACTTTAACAATGCATGGTAATCAATAAAAAATCTGCATCTAATGTCCCTGATTAATTTGTCTGACAGTGGGAAAATGTCCAGTTCATAATTAAAGTAACCTGATAAATGCCATCTTCTTCTTTAATAATATTGTTGTCTTGATGGTTGGCCCAAATGTAAAATATCAATATGCCCACAGAAGAAAGCAAGGCTATAAAAGTGAGTTATTATCAATCAGGGACAAAGATGAAATTTTGTTTTCATTCGAAGTCAAATTTATTTTTTTGCATTTTGATAGTCCTGTAATTGCAAATGATACTTTTTGCAAGAATTCATTCACAAATCAATTTTTTGAAGAAAAAGGTTTGAAAAAATTAATCTGAAAAGCAATTTCTAGAGTGTATACCGACCAGCAACAGAGACAAGAACAGCAGCAGCGCAAATAAGGGTGCGATGACAAAAAGCGCAAACTGAAAGCAATAAGGCTGCACTTGCTGTTAATGCCGCAAATCCAAGGGCAGCTAGTGATGCTACCTTCCACCCTGAAATAAACTAAAATTTTGCTTTATATAAATGATAGAGAAGAAGATGGGTGGAAGTATTTTTAAAAATTCAAAATGTATTAAGAACATTTAACAGACCTAACAGTAGATGCTGGTTGGCATCATCCTGGAGACGATTCTCATCATGGTTATGATCGTAGAGATCTTCGCTATCAATGTAATAATCGAATTTGTATACGCAAAGCAATGATGTGAGAAAAAATTGATCAAATGGTGACTGTTGTTTATTAAGCCTATAATTTCGGTATAGGTCGAAATGAATTGAGATTCGAATGGAGCTAAATCAAATTGCATTCTCCTCCTAAGAAAAAAGTAATCTTTGCTGAATTATTCATAAAATATGATTGTCCTTTTAATTTCTGCCTTTAACAAAAAAGAATTCACAAACCTGTACAGCGTCTCGTAATATTCACGACTTCGACCATAATCATGAGAATAATCGCGTTTACAATCAAGCCATAATCCATGGTGATGCTCTGTACGGCCATTCTAAATATCTAGTATCACTGTTAGTAATACAGGTTCATTTCATAGTACGCATAAAGGGTAGGAATAGTATGGACAGTAGTAAGATAGAAAAAGAAATTTAGCAGAAATTAGAAGTTAAAAAAAACATAACTAAATTTAAGTCAAGTTATAATATGTTATTGAAATCTGAAAAAAAGTCCAGTCGGACTGTGACACTTACTTCAAGATATACGTACTGCCAGCTTGGGTTTATCAGAGCGATGCAACTCAGAACATAAGCAATCAATTCAAGTAAGAAAAATAGTGATAAAGCTGTTCTCTGGCCACACTTGTTCTGACTTTCTTCAATAGCACTCATTGACTGTCTGTTGAATATTTACTAGCTCATCGCTTTCTTCTGTATTCAAACACATGCTACAACTGATAATTATCTTATCAACTATGGAAAATATATGCAATGAGGTTTGGAGAGCAAAACTGTTTTTCCCACTATCTCAATTGATTATAAGATTGAGCAGATATAACTTTGTAGATTGCTATAGTACCAAGAGAAAATTAAGCCTTCGAGTTTAAGGATTTTTCCGATGTGATTCAAATCAGTCAGCTATGATGAAGAGTACAAGGACAAACAAACAGCCAATTAATTAATGATTTGAAAAACATTTCAAAAAGTGTAGACGGAACAGACGACTGAGACCGAAACAGGTAATGGCATTTACTGGTGTCATTCGCAAATTGAAATAATAGAGAAGGTGAAAGGAAAGAGTGAAATGGATGAGAAAACATGAAATAATGAATGCCAATGGTAGGACAACTACCTGACTTCTGAGTCTTATTGAAGGAAAGGAAAGGTCAAAATTACTCAACGATGAGTCGTCGGATGTTCCCTTTTCAAGGTGATAAAATCAAAGCATCATACGTTTTGATTTTTATCACTAAAGACTTATTTACAGCAAAACATCACTTATTTTTGCAAGTAACAAAACTGAAAAATTCAAGTCGTAACGTCGTCAGAAAATGGGGTCAGCCTCCTAGTATAATAATCATCTAAACTTCTATAAAATGTATGCAAGGGAAATGATCGAAGAAATAAACCTTATTTTTACAGCTTTCATTCATTTACATCAAACAATAGGCAATAAAGTTTGATGTTTGCTTAAACGATTAATCACAATATGAGAAAATTCAAATCGCAAATTCAAATAAAAACAATTGCCTTGCAATGGACTCGGTAATTTCCAGAATAATGGAAAATGAGAGATTGTGAACGCAGTAAATAGACCATAATTTAAAAGGATTTTGGAAAGATCGAAAACGGTGACATTAAAAAATCTAACATTATGATTCAAAAATATTTGCAAGTCATAATATTTTCGTTTGACAAAACAAAAATTGAATTGATTACTTCAAAAGCTGCTCTAAGAAAACAAAAAAAATTCATTCGTAATGCGGAATTAACGAAAGAAATTTGATTTAAGGTAGTTACTTCCCTTCTCAGAGCGAACAATGAATTGACAATAATAGTGATGACTGGTATCCATAGTCTCAGTGGCAAATAACTCACAGATTGATGATTCCCGTTATCGCAACTGAAATCGATCGCTCAGCTCGCTATGTAGGTCTGACCTATGTCCAGCCAGATACGTTTGTATGCGTGTGTCTATGCATGTATGTGTATGTTTATGTCCGCATTTTTGATCATAAACGCCTTATACAAGATTTACTAACATGATGGGAACAGCGACGAATCTCAACGAATCAGAAATCATACGGTATAGCTCTTATGCATCTAAGCGATCAAAACGACCATTGTCATTAGAATAGTCAATTTTCAAATAATAAAAAAAATGGTAGTGTAGTAGTGACTATCTGGGAATTCAAAATAGAAGTTTGTGCTACCTTAACTTTTCAAGATATTTATCAGTTATCATCATTTCATATATTTAAAGATAGAGGGAAAAGTTTTACGGCAATAAAAAAAATGTTTTATATTAGCCGTAAAACAGGAGTCAAAAAGTTCAAATCTGCTTCTGTTCCATTTGTTACTACATTGTTTTAATATCTTTCCAGTCATAGCAATATACAATATATAAAGTGTAAGGATTTGAGCTAAAAAAAAGGATTCCACGATTATACGGAATAATGAAATAAAGCAAACTACAAAGATGATATTATATGGGAGATGTCAGTCCTCAAAAAGAAAAGCCGATATGACCATTATGACTTCCATCTGATACTTTTCAAAACTGGTCTCAATTACGATGATGTGAAGGTCGTCCTATCGCAGATCGTATCATCATCACCTTTCTCAGTTATCGTTGGTATATTTTTTGAAAATTTCATACTCATTGAAAATCAAATATATTCACATTCTAAAAATGATAAGTTCAGTGATTTAGGCAGTTGTGCTGAACCTTTTTTCTCTAAAAATATTTGACAGTGTAATCTGTGAATCTATTTGACCGTGCAGAAACAACAGATTCCTAAAAAGCATAGCATTGCTTAGCGAAGCATGAAATGAAACTCAGCAATGAATTATATTATTCTTCATTAAGCGTTTTCCATAGTCGTTGATGAAAAGTTTCAATAAGTTTCAGAAAATGAGTACAACAAAGTGAGAAAACGTTTATTAACAGTCCATTGACTCGTGATTTTTGAATAACAGAACAAAAACTGACCTGAAACATGGATTTGGAAGGCCAAAAGAACAATAAAACTGACATCTTAATTTATTTAACCTAAAGTCATAGTATATTTTTCATTCTAGAATACTACTAATCAGTCCTAATTGCCATATATACCGATTACCATCAGTTCGCTTTGCTGTCATTTTTTGAAAAACAAACATCCGCGATAAGCACCGCTAATGGAATAAATTTCTGTCTGTCAGCATTATTATTTCAGATACATGCAACATTAAGGTTACACATTCCTTACAAACATTCTTCACTCAATTGCATTTGATATGAACTTTTATTGACCGCCTTAAAAGCATACTTCAAATCATTAGTAAGAAAAGTAAACAATTTCAAATCACTTTTTTTACAAAATTAATCATCAAGCAAATTCCAGAACGAATTACAAACAAATCAAAATAATATGATAAAATCCGATTTAGAAATACAATATTCAGTAGCACACTCGGTTATTCAATGGTTACTCAATTTATCATCATTATAATCGCATATTTGATGTTAGTGCTTAAGAAGCTAACAACTTAAATTTCATTTGGAAAACTGGCAATTTTACTTGCTGGAAAATGGATGAAAGATAGACACTCCATATTCTTATTCAGAATTAGTAGTTCTTCGATAAAATTACTTATGAATTCTAAAAAAAATTGAATTATTATGATGCAATTATAACATGATAGATACCAGAACAATATAAAAATTAGAATTGTTCTACTAAACTTTTCAATTAGTCAAGAAAGTAAATTCATAGTAAGTTTCAATCATAACTTATTGAAATAAGTGAAAAGCAAAAGCTAACAGAATTAAACTGTAAAATTAAAGATGAATGAAATAAGTGATCTTCGAATTACGACAATAATATTAATGATCTAAATGCAAAAAATTGAATAAATGATATGGTTGTAAATATAAGTAAAGAGATGTTAGAAGACACATAAAGCCATAACGAACAGTTATAAAAACTTGTGAAAAGCGAGGTAATATAAGTTATCATACAAATCTTACCTTGATAACACCAACTATAATATTTTTTGACAAATCCGTTAAAAAGATCCTAGGAAATTTTAACAAATTTGGCAGCTCTTAATCAATGGCTTCATTTCATCAAAAAAAGCAACTACAAGGAAGACGCAGACTGATAGTGAAATGTGAATTGCGAAGTTCATTGCAGTAATATGAAATTCGCGGTACTAGCGGGAATGAATTTTCTGCAGACTGATTGAAGTAATTATTCATTAACTCAAATAAACTTGTAATTAGCGTAAGTAACATTAGTGACAGATTTATAAAGTCTTGGCTAGAAACACTGACCTATCAAAAATCGTATCTTAAACGAAAGAACAGGTGTTCAAACATCGTGGAAATTTATATGCAAAAGATTTACAAAATTGACGCACATAAAAAATGGCTAATTCATATCCTTGTTAAAATCTATTGAGCAATCTGAACAAGAATAAAATGCAACGAATTTTACATAAAGAAAAATGGATGGAGAAAATCAATTGCCACAATTATTTTTCTATCCTTTCTTTTTCGTCCTTTAAGACGAATATTTTGAACAAATTATTTAAGATATAAATTCGGAACTCAAGACTGAAATTAGCAGAGAGATTTCATATTTGATTAAATAAATTACATTTCCAGCAAATCAATTTATGCAAAAAAGCACGCAAAATTTTTACAAATGAGCTGATTAAAAGCTAAACACAAGTTTCACTTTTTCGTCTTACTCTTTGTCCAAAGAATTCAGCAGATAATTGTCGTGTTCCTAACTCAGGTGTACTTCCAGCAATATTCTTATCATACTGTTCTTGATGTTTCATATAGTGAGGTGGACGAATTCCAGCAGATGCCACATTTTGCTGGTATATCATTTGTGGTTCAAACTCCGACGATCTGCAAACAAGTAGTAATGCAATTTAAATAAAGCCTACGCAGCTGTCACAAACTGAATAAATGTGGCATTTTTTTCAAAAATAATTCGTAAACGTTTTTTCATCAAAAAGTTGTATGGAGTTCTGCTGAACACCTTAATGAGGAAAACATTTCTCTGTCTTCCAAATCTGATTTGGGAATCGAAAGATTAATAGATAAGTCACAGGAGAATATTCATACTATATCATAAACAATACCTAAAAAAGATATGACATTGTACTCAAAAAACAGTATGAGAAATATTTTGAGATGCAGACCTTCCCATACTTGCCACATTTAATTTTGATCCTCGATTAAAACTATATCGATCACTGGCATCATTTTTACCAGTCCAAGCGAAATATACAAATACTAATGAAATCAGAAATGCAACAAAATGGCAAGCACATGCAACCATCTGTAGAAAAAATGCCAAGCCAACTCGTTGCTGAAAATAATGCTACTTATGCTAATATGACTGATGATGCAATAATACAATGATACAAGTGTACCTGAGCTTTTTTCCTAAAGACCGGTTCAATTCAACAAGTAAAACACATTGATGAAGAGAGCCTCGAACAATAGCAAACATAAAAATTACCGGAATTACTATATGAAAAGTATTTCAAACCTCGTAGGTACTGACAATACCCTTGATGAACCGGACGTCGGCACGATGTGAATAGAAAAAGAATAGTCCTTCCGCTATAACGGACAGAAATGCTGAAAAAAAAATGTTTCTCATCTCCTC